TAAAACATCAAAATTATTTAGACCGTCTCAAAATATATTCCTTGGAAAGGTATCAATAATATATACATGGAAGATACTGGAGGGCCAGGGCCCAAATTTGCACAGTAGAATAACAATATGCTAGAGCGAAAGATATGGAAGAAAATGCAGATTAGAACCAAAGAAGAGTAGAGGTGCCATAGGCACAATCAGAGAGCACTGTCTTAACACCAGAGGTCCACAGCTGTTCAACACTCCCAGCAAGCATTAGAAATATTGCCAGAACGAAGGTGGATGTATTCAAGAGGCACTTGAATGCATCCTTCTTGCAAGAAGTGCCGGACTAACCGGGCTGTTGTGGATATGTGGGCCTGGGGGCTGCTCCAAGCAACAGCCTGTTGGACCAAGTTGTCATAAGTCGAGCCTGGCCTCAGGCCGGGCTCCGGGGGAGGGTAGAAGAACTCCCGAAACCCTCTGCAGGTATGCTCTAGGTATCTCTTGCATTGTAGCGTTGACCATATAAAAGGTCAATGCTACAAAAGGCCAGTGTCGGGGAGATGAGAGACTAAAGAGACTTATCGGTGTACCACTGGCCAAGGGAGAACTGGTCGCACCGCTCACCGCCATACTTCATAATGCAAAAGCCACCACACACTATCTAATTTGAATAGGCCTAATATTACTTAGCCAACAATTACAATATACTTTTCTAATATTTTGTAAAGATTTCTTGATGAATAATTTCGGCTCCTTCACTAGCTATTTTAGGCTCTTCGTTACTAACTTTGAAAACAAACGGTAAAATCTCCTCATTCCACTCAATGAGGATATTATTTCTGGGCTATTACCTTATGCTATTACAACACTTCTCTTATTATGTACAAAGCTTTCACCTATTTACTTAACCATAGGTTAAGGGATTTACACCAAGGCAAATTACACACAAAAATGACAAGCGTTTATAATAATCAGGCGAACAAAGACGCCACAAATCAATCAGCACTCACCAGGTAAAGTAACTGGTGGCACTAGCCCGCTCTCTCCATCTTGCACTGGACGGTAGAGCGACGGTCACACTTCATGCAGGTTGGCGTTCAACCCCCGACCGTCCAAGTAATTGGGCACCATCCTTTCCCCCGTCCCATCCCAAATCATTATTCTGACCCTTTCAAAGTGCTCAATAGTCGTAACAGCTTGGCGCTTTCCCCTAAGAATTCCCTCCCTCCTTTTGAAAAAAAAGCAACTGTTTTACCTAGAGAAATGCACAAACCCAACCAACCCACCTTAACCTATCGAGGGTGAACCAGGGGCAAAAACACCAAAATAGCACGCTGCCTTATTGAGGCCACGATTGGTCCATTCCGTACACAATGGAGTGTGTTAGGCGAGAGGTCGGCCCAACACCGTACTGTCCTCTAGAGGAGTCCTTACCGGCACAGACGGCTGCTGCAGGGTTGTGATCCCTCACAGTCCAACTCTGTTATGGGTGCTGCATACATGCATCACACACCCCCTTCCCCTCCACACACACCTTCCTCCTCTTGACCAGTCAGCACTTTATACGGGTCTAGTTCAAGCCTCCCTATTGGTTACCTTCTGACTTTATGGGGGAGGAGGGGGTCGAGCAGGCTCTCTCGCTAGTACATGGGGGTTTTACCTTGGGGTATGTATACCCCTGGGGGGGGATACACCAGGGGTCTATAACCTGGGGGCTGTACACCAGGGGTTTACAAACTGGGGGTGTACACCTGGGATGTGTATTGCATGAGGGGGGGGGGGTTATAACCTGTGGGAACACCAGGGGATTTACAAGCTGCGGGAACACCAGGGGTTTACAACCTGGGGGAACACCAGGGGGTTTACAACCTGGAGGAACACCAGGGGTTTACAACCTGGGGGAACACCAGGGGTTTACAAGCTGCAGGAACACCAGGGGTTTACAAGCTGCAGGAACACCAGGGGTTTACAACCTGGGAGGACACATCAGGGGGGTTTATAACATGTAGGGGCTATACCAGGGGGGTTATAACTTGGGGGGGGTTACACTAGGGGGTTTATAACCTGTAGGGGCTACACCAGGGGGGTTTATAACCTGGGGGGGTTACACCAGGGGGTTTATAACTGTAGGGGCTACACCAGGGGGTTTATAACTGTAGGGGCTACACCAGGGGGTTTATAACTTGGGGGTGGGGTACACCAGGGGGGTTTATAACCTGGGGGGGGGGTTATAAAGCAGTAGTACACCTAGCCCCAGTCTCATGTCCATAGATATCAAAGCTCAGGATTCCCAGATAAAAGCTGCCCCCTTAGGTATATTTGGCACAGCTGGCTGAAGCCACAGGCGTTACCTTACCTTGACCTTGAGGTGCTTCCGGGGCTTAGTGTCCCCGCGGCCCGGTCGTCGACCAGGCGTGAGAGTGCTCTGTTGTTACATCAGAGCACATTAGAGTCAAGGTAACGGCAGAAGGCCTATTGGTCTACATCGTGGCAGCTCCTATTTATATCGTACTCAAACGCACTCTCATATATGTCTAACCTACGCTTGAAACAATCAAGGGATCCTACGGCTAAATATGTTACGCGGTAATTTGTTCCCTCCAAATCGACAACCCTGTTAACGAACAAGAATTTATCCAGGTCTTTCATAAATCTAAACTAATCCAATTGATATCCATTGTTTCGTGTTCTATTATGTGTTGATATATTTAATACCGTATTAATATCCTCGTTGGCATTCACGAGATATACAAGTGAGCATGATTTTAAGTATGCTGCTTTGCCAGCTTCTTGAAGGTTCCCATTCATACGTATACATACATAAATACGCATATGTTGTTGAATATGACAGAAATGGTAAGATTAATGATTCGAACACGAATCTTCGATATTTCTTATGTTTTTATGTCAGGGGTAGTTGAAAAATTAACTCTCCAAAGTTCATTTTCACTATTTATGGTCTGACGCCTAACAGTTTTGCAAGAACACTTCTTACATTTTCACAAGACAATTTTTTTACATACTCAGATTGTGCTTATATTCGTTTTTGGGTTAGGTGATAGGATACAAATGTTTTGGGTAGGTGACAGGAAACAAATCAACGGGAAAAGACAGAACACGAAACAATGGGTATATACAATGAGTATATAATTATCTTCTTGCTTCTGTGCTGGTTCGGGGTCTTGAAGTGGGTGGAATGTAATTATGTGTTAATTGGCTGTTGATTGCTGGTGTTGACTTTTTGATGTGTAGAGCCTCGCTGATGTCGAGTCTTCTGTTATCGTTGTACCTGTACTATACATGTTTACACACAACAACTATCTATGGGCTCACCATAGCCCGTGTTACTTGGGACTTTTTGTTCCAGGTAGCGAGTCTTTAACAACAACAACTTACACACAAACATTTCTGTGCTGCTTGTTAAGATTTCTCTGGTGATGGTCTGATTGTGTGAGATTATATGCTCCTTGATAGAGCCCTGTTGTTTGTGCATTGTTAATCGCCAAGAAAGAGACGTTGCTGTCTTGCCTATATACTGAGATCTTTGGGGCTGACAGTCCCAAAGTGGGCATGTGAAGGCATAGACGACATTGGTTTCTTTCAAGACGTTCTGTTTGGTGTCTGGGTAGACATACATACATCTATACATACAGGGTCTAGATATTTTTTAGCTACTTTATTCATTCTTCTGCACAAGAGGTGGAACTTTGCAATGCTAGGCGGTCAGTCAAGATTTAAAACAAAAATTAAAGCTGTTAATAAGGCAAATTTCCACTGTATGATTATGGCAGGTTTTGGCTTCTAAGACAATGCCTACTGAACTAAACTGATCGATATCTCAGCAAGGATATCAACCTCGTAAAGTTAAGTGCAATTAATACTAGGTTGGTTAGTCAACCCGTCCTCTTAAAAATAACGTCGCTTTTATCTCGTATGCGCGCTATGGTAAAAAAATGGACGTAATTTGAAATGAAATCGGCTCACGAAAGTGATGTACTGTCCCGTTTTTTGTTTGAGTCCTCTGGCTTGGTTAGGTTAGGAGAAGAATCTTTCAATTAACGTTTTTCATGATGTTTTGAAACTTAATGAGAATTTCCTGCCCACCTAACCTACAAGAGGACCCTTAACTTATCGTTTTGAAAAAAAAAAAAAAATTCTAAATTGATTTTAATTTTTTTCATTTTGAAATTACATCCCTTTTCGGCCATGCGGGCAAACGGCCAAATTCAGACGTAATTTGTAAGAGGACAGGCTGGTTTAGTCTTCTGTGCTCAGATTTAGATTCTGTTCATGAAACACACTATCATTCAGAGGTTGCTTTGTTATCTCGCAGAAATTTTGTCAAGCGAGTTTTTGAACCACAGGACGAGCTGGAATGGTTTTTAAGTCGTAGTGTTCAGAAGGATTCTCGTATGTATCATGCAATGATATGGGATCCAAATTGGGTTATTTACACTCCTAAATACTCGTAACAAATCTTTGCAAGGGCTGTTGTTGCTGTCACGGACTTTCTTTATAAACTGAAGCGCTTTCAAACGAAACTGTAACTGCGCCAGACAAAAGTGAAGGGAATTTCGACGAGAGACTTGCTGGCCGGCAGAACATAAGAACATAGGTAACTGCAGAAGACCTATTGGCCCATACGAGGCAGCTCCTATTTATAACCACCCAATCCCACTCATATACATGTTCAACCCACATAATTGGTTCCTCTCATCAACCTTTCACAGAACACCTCTAATTCAGGGTAGCTAATTTTTTCTACTTTATTTTCTTACCGATATTGCTTCTGTTAATGATGATATTCACGAAGAATTGACTGGCCTTGTGAACGACTTCAGTGCTGGTGCTCTCTTCGAGAAACACATCGTTACGGCCAGTTTGGTCTAGTAACCAGGGTCTTTCTGTTAATGTGTCCTATAACCTCTTCTTGATCCTACCCGAAGTCGATGGTAAGTTTTCAAGAACTGCCTGTGGCAAGTATTAGTGCAAAGAATAAGGGAGGGATAAACAATACACAATTACACCTGCAATATATATATTACATCCTTAAATATTACTACACATATTTACACTGTGTTGCTTTTACTCAGGACACTCAACAGATCTGCAGTGTTCATCAGATCCGGCGAGTTCACCTTCCTCAACATGTGCCAGTCCATACACCGTATCGTCACGGTGTCCCAATACCCTACATCCACTCTCCAGAAGCAGAGGGCTACAGCAACACACTGACAGGGTTCTCAAATAATCAGGCACAGGGGTAGCTAACACCCTGGCAGAAGTCTCTAGCAATACACTAGCAGCACTTCTCAACAGACGCAGTACTGTTGCCTCGTAACTCTTCTTGGCCAAATCCTGGGTACATCGGTCTATACAACACTACATAAATCCAGCAGCTAACACACTGCTACAACCGACGGCGGCTACTTTGTCCTCTCACAGGACTAAGTCAGGAGTTCTAGACTGCCCAAGGTGAACTGCCCTCCTCTTCACAATCACCTCCTAATGTCACCTCTGTGAACATAAAACACTATTAGCTAGACAGACAGTATACTGGGTGACCTTAGGATAACACCCTTCCACTGGGAAATTGAAATTGTAATTGCTTTCACAACCTAGATGGTGTTGATATCGTTATGCCACCCACCAGAGGTCATCATCATCAACCTCAACTCCTCACTGAGGAATGAAATAGGAGCCTCACACCGCCGCCAACAGATGGCGTTGTGTGCATCTCACCTAATACCGGGGAGTTAGAGTGCAGGTCCACAGATGACGCAGAAATCGCCACTCCACACTCCAGCAACGGTGTTGATACCGTAACACAAATGTAGGGTAGACATAGCCTAAACCACTATCCTTTTGAGATGTATCTTACTGTCTCAATTAACGTTCTTGAACTTGAGAAATTATCTGTTATTAAGGTCTGGTATAAGATATCCTGATCATACCCAGGTGATGCCGAGTAAGCTTGTCCTTCTCCCTGACTTTTCCCAGAAACATAGTTGTGTCAATGGATTTTCCAACTTCTCATGAAATCTAAAATAAGTTCTCGTCAGAATTTGAAGGCGGGACCATGGACGTGGCGGGACCTGCTCCTCGGCTCCCTACGCTAGTTCCCAACAGCGGCACCAGCCATCCTATTAATTCGCATTGCAGTTGAGCCTGATCTCGGGCCGGGCTCGGGGGAGTAGTAGAACTCCCGAAACCCACTCCAGGTATGCTCCAGGATGATGCCTTATTAGTAACATCTTAAAAAAACTGGTTATCAGATAACAGCTGCAAATGTTTCCTTAAGTTTTGGTGAAGTTTATGTATAAAATATTTTCTGAACAGGTTGATTACGAAGCTTTTGTACGTTTAAATTCCACCAGCCTTAAAATTACCACTGAACACCCACAAGTGAAGAATGTGATATTCTATAAAAAAAAATCAATTGCTTTTAGTATTTTGGAAACATTATCAATGATGCTGTAGTTACTCAATTATTGATTCCAAATATACACAGTTGAATGTTACTCTCCATGTTTATCACTACTGGGGCACGTGGAGGATAGTAACGAGGCTCAGAGGACACGTGGAGGACAGTAATGAGGCTCAGAGGACACGTGGAGGACAGTAATGAGGCTCGGAGGACACGTGGAGGACACTAATGAGGCTCAGAGGACACGTGGAGGAGAATAATGAGGCTCGGAGGACACGTGGAGGAGAATAATGAGGCTCGGAGGACACGTGGAGGACACTAATGAGGCTCGGAGGACACTAATGAGGCTCAGAGGACACGTGGAGGACACTAATGAGGCTCGGAGGACACGTGGAGGAGAATAATGAGGCTCGGAGGACACGTGGAGGACACTAATGAGGCTCGGAGGACACTAATGAGGCTCGGAGGACACGTGGAGGACACTAATGAGGCTCGGAGGACACGTGGAGGAGAATAATGAAGCTCAGAGGACACTACTGAGGCTCAGAGGACACTAGGAGGGGAAAGCTTAAAAACGCTTGCACTAGACATTATTTTGCTTACATTTAAATATAAAATCCTGTCTAATTATGTAGAGCAGTGAGATATACACGGCCTGGCTACAGCTGCCGGTGCAGCCTATCATCTTGCTCAACACTAGATTTTTTACGCTATCTACCCAAACGTAAAAATTGCGGTGCTTTAGGGAAAGTAAAATCACCATTATATTGACGTGTCACGGGCTGACAAGGATTCTCGGCTCCGGTACGTTAGGTGGCTTGCCTAGGTTTTGACGCTTCTAGTTAGGAAAAACCGCTGCATTTTTTTGGGTAATAGTAAACATTGGCAAAATATAATCCCTGTGATGGTTGAGCAAGATGTGCTAGACGCTGATAATGGTAGGTTTATGTGAGAAGGTACTGGAGCCGCTGTACACTGGGATGGAACCCGCACCCGGCAACCGCTCAGGCACACGCACTACCCACTCCACCATCACCTTGTGATGTGCACGCCTCTTCACCATCCACAACAACTGACCACCATCTCTTCTCTTCCCATAACTACACAACCACTCCTCTCAACATAAGACGGGAGACATCTCCCGTCACGCAGGGTGCAGTTGCACCTCCACAGATCTCCAGTATCAGCTCTTGATACTGGTAATGGCTCAAAAGGGCCACCACTTACGGGCTATTCATGCCCGTGCCACCTTTTGGGTGGCTTAATCTTCATCAATCTCAACATAATACTAATTGACTTTCTTGCTGAAACTTAAATCACTGTGATCAAATTTTGCATACAAAACTGTATGCTCTACTATGTTATGATGTTTTTGGGTAAAGGAAACTATGATTTAGAGGGTAAAGCAGGGACGATAATCCCCTGAAGAAAACAAGTGTGGCCCACCATTTATTTGCCTTGCCCCTGAGGTTGTAAACCTTCACAAAACAAAGGTAAGGTTATCTTGAGATGATTTCAGGCTTTGTGTTCCCGCGGCCCGGTCCTCGACCCAGCCTCCACCCCCCCCCCTCACAGGAAGCAGCCCGTAACAGCTGACTAACTCCCAGGTACCTATTTTCTGCTAGGTAACAGGGGCATCAGGGTGAAAGAAACTCTGCCCATCGTTTTTCGCCGGCGCCCGGAATAGAACCCGGGACCGGAGGATCACGCGTCCAGTGTTCTGTCCGCTCAGCTCACCGCCCTTCCTAATTACTAGAAAGTAATATGCCAGTTAAGACTATGCAGCACTTGGAACGGATATGAGGACACGGATCTGGGATATGACGGACAAAAGAAATGGTACCCCGCTACGTGGACCGTTGGAGATCACCAGTCACAGCCCCGCTCCTGTGCCAGTGTAACACGGGTTAGGTTCCTCTCTCTCTACTTATCTTATCTTCTTTACCCTCTACCCGTATTCTTACTTTTTATTCTCTACCAAGGGACTCCAAAACTTTTGCCAAAGCCAACTCCACGCCACGTGGTCCTAAGACGATTGACCGACTTAGGATTCTACACCCAGTATGACGTGACCTAGGCTCTGAGCAAAACCCTAGAGTCGCCTCTACGCTGCCACCACCAGACCAGTAACACAGAGCAATGATCGAGGTCTGGATCGATCACGCTAATTAATCAACCTAGGGGCTTGATCCCCACTATATACGATGACCTTGAGTGTGGAATAAATTACACGGTAATGATAATTCCGATTCGATGTTAGAATCGGCGCCCAATCCAACTTTACCTCGTGTGGACCACGTGACCAGGACAAGTATACACATAACCAAATGGAAACAATAAAATGCAAATTAATAACAAATTTAATTTATTAAAAGAAAACTAAAACAAAATCTAAATATGTTCACTCCCTGTCACTTTAACACTCCCTACTTGACCTGAGTGGCAAATGAGAAGACTATCCCTATAATTAACAATAGCAACTATACCTTGGGCGACCAGCTCTAGATGTTGGGCTGGTCTTGGGGAGAGGTAAGATGTTTGACCTCTCCCAGCTGCTCCCGTTTCCACACTGATCTCTCCCTTGTCTGGTCTACCCCAGACAGAGCATTGTATCCTTCCGCCTAGTCAGTCAAAGTTCTACCAAGTAACTAGCCAGGTTTAAGTTATAACAATTAACCTCTGTTGTACTTAATTGATCCAGACTGGTTGAATTATTTTACTGAAGTTAAATTACACAAGCCTCTAACGGCAGAGCTGTTCCCGATCACAAAAATGGTTATTAAAACTTTGAGAAATAATAGACATGTCAACCCTGCTGACCTATGACCGCCGGTCACTCCGCCTTACAAGTTAGATCTGATTCGTGACGTCACTGATGGTGACTTAAACTCAATAATTAGAATACTCTTGATATTGTATCCAGTACTATTATACAATACAATTTTAATGCAAAATGAATAAAGGCTAATTTTCTCTAAATTACTGAATACTATAGGATGATTCATTATACGCAGCTATGAACAAAGAGTCGGTTATTTCCACCGCGAATTCCCCTGGGGGTCAGGTCACCATGCGGGCTCAGCTTCCCATTCTCTTTTGTCGATAAACCACTCTGGATAATTCTTACAACAGCCTAGTTTGTTACACCAGGTAAGTCCACTACGAGCCCACCATAGCCCGTGCTACTTGCAACTTTTGTGTTCCCAGTAGCTGAATCTAAAAACAACAACAACGTTGAAGATAGACGCCCACCTGCAAGAAGCAGAGCCGTCGCTGTACCAAGCAGTGCCAGTGGCTGGGTGTTCAAAACAAAGGTTTACATTAGTATGTCTACTACACGGATCAAGAACCGGATTAATATGCGTGTGGGCGAACGGTGCCTTCATGACACACATGATACGCACACATCACACTAAGCTGACAACACCAACTGGTTAACAACACTGAGGTGGAGAGACTGCAGACAGCACAGGACGCAGACACCCCCCTCTCCAGACGGCGTGCACTCAAGCGGAAGACGACACAAACATACAAGTAGACGTCAACAACATGCTAGACACCTACACCACAACACCACCACCATGAGGAACACATCGCAGCCACCACCCCTGTATATCTTAACCACACGCCCAGTGCGCCCGGTATGGTCACTTCTCAATACCCACAAGAATCCAGTCTCGACACAACCTGTCCTCTCGAATAATCCATAGTAATTTGACGTAAAAATCCCCCAGCGTCAAAATATGTCATAGCGGCTCGCTAAACTGATGGGCTGTTACGTGTTCTATTTGTGGGTTCTCTGTTCGGGAAATTGAGTACATTTTTTTTATGACGTTGTGACAACTGGGGAAGACAGGCTGATCGACAGGTTGTGACACCCCCAAGGGATCCGGTCTGGACACGTCCTAACACCCCCAAGGGATCCGGTCTGGACACGTCCTAACACCCCCAAGGGATCCGGTCTGGACACGTCCTAACACCCCCAAGGGATCCGGTCTGGACACGTCCTAACACCCCCAAGGGATCCGGTCTGGACAAGTCCTAACACCCCCAAGGGATCCGGTCTGGACACGTCCTAACACCCCCAAGGGATCCGGTCTGGACACGTCCTAACACCCCCAAGGGATCCGGTCTGGACAAGTCCTAACACCCCCAAGGGATCCGGTCTGGACAAGTCCTAACACCCCCAAGGGATCCGGTCTGGACACGTCCTAACACCCCCAAGGGATCCGGTCTGGACACGTCCTAACACCCTCAAGGGATCCGGTCTGGACACGTCCTAACACCCTCAAGGGATCCGGTCTGGACACGTCCTAACACCCCCAAGGGATCCGGTCTGGACAAGTCCTAACACCCCCAAGGGATCCGGTCTGGACAAGTCCTAACACCCCCAAGGGATCCGGTCTGGACACGTCCTAACACCCCCAAGGGATCCGGTCTGGACAAGTCCTAACACCCCCAAGGGATCCGGTCTGGACACGTCCTAACACCCCCAAGGGATCCGGTCTGGACAAGTCCTAACACCCCCAAGGGATCCGGTCTGGACACGTCCTAACACCCCCAAGGGATCCGGTCTGGACAAGTCCTAACATCCCCAAGGGATCCGGTCTGGACACGTCCTAACACCCCCAAGGGATCCGGTCTGGACAAGTCCTAACACCCCCAAGGGATCCGGTCTGGACACGTCCTAACACCCTCAAGGGATCCGGTCTGGACAAGTCCTAACACCCCCAAGGAATCCGGTCTGGACACGTCCTAACACCCTCAAGGGATCCGGTCTGGACAAGTCCTAACACCCCAAAGGGATCCGGTCTGGACAAGTCCTAACACCCCCAAGGGATCCGGTCTGGACACGTCCTAACACCCCCAAGGGATCCGGTCTGGACACGTCCTAACACCCTCAAGGGATCCGGTCTGGACAAGTCCTAACACCCTCAAGGGATCCGGTCTGGACACGTCCTAACACCCTCAAGGGATCCGGTCTGGACACGTCCTAACACCCTCAAGGGATCCGGTCTGGACAAGTCCTAACACCCCCAAGGGATCCGGTCTGGACACGTCCTAACACCCTCAAGGGATCCGGTCTGGACACGTCCTAACACCCTCAAGGGATCCGGTCTGGACAAGTCCTAACACCCTCAAGGGATCCGGTCTGGACAAGTCCTAACACACCCAAGGGATCCGGTCTGGACAAGTCCTAACACACCCAAGGGATCCGGTCTGGACAGGTCCTCACAACCCAGGGATCCGGTCTGGACAGGTCCTCACAACCCAGGGATCCGGTCTGGACAGGTCCTCACAACCCAGGGATCCGGTCTGGACAGGTCCTCACAACCCAGGGATCCGGTCTGGACAGGTCCTCACAACCCAGGGATCCGGTCTGGACAGGTCCTCACAAACTCTCCCTCCGGTCGGCGGATTTTCATCGTTCAAGAACTGGAGTTGAGGGGAGCCGGCTCCCCCCCCCCCCAAGTGGGTAGTGTTAACGAGCGGAAGTGCTAGTCGCATGAAGGGTTGCCTGTTTACTTTCTTTCTAAGGGGGGGGGGGGGTTGATCTCTTGGGATGTAGATTTCACAAGTTAACCAGACAGTGATCTGTTTCGAATCGCCTACCTCTCCGGGTCCTTACCTGGTTGATGGCAATTATGACACACTTTAAATTTCAATTGCTCATAGGCCATTGCTCCCTGCGCCTCTCTGAGGGGAAGGGGGGGGGGCAGGTTCAGGCTCATGGTTCCCGTTAGGCATTAGAACTCCTGTGACTGATGACCCCAAACTAACATAGCACACATCAGTTCGGATTAGCGATAAGACCTACCATTAATGTATGATGACTTACTGTAAATATGTAGCTCTTGTAATAGCACTTTCTCTGTAACTAGCTGACATTGTAACTATAAGGTGTGAAGGATAGAAGAAATTGTTTATGTAATAATCTAAGATGAGGTCTGATAAAGACCTTTTGTGCCCTCTGTAATGCTTTTGCGCTACCGCTCACAGGATGAGTATGGGGTGCACAATAAACTAGCCGCCTTCGGCGTCAACAAATCAATCAAAATCTCCATATCGGCAACTTCTCCAGGTTTGAGAGGGGCCGTCAGTGTGCAACAGTATTCCACTCTAGAACACTAGCTTGAAAAGTATCATTAGTATAGCATCTCTAGTGTGAAAGGTTCTTGTTATCCAACCTGTCATTCCTTTTACAGTTATGATGGCTATTTTATTGTGTTCTTTAAAGATAAGGTCTTCCGACATTAGAACACTCAAATCCTTTACATTGCTTTTTCGTTCTACAGTGTGATTTTACTGCGTTTTGTTCGTAGCTTCCGTTTTTATATTTGATTTTTTTCCATAGCGCAGGAGCTGGAACTTATTTTTTATTAAATACCATATATTCTGTAGCACATTAAAAGACCTGATTTACATCTGATTGGAGGTTTGCTATGTCCTTTATGTTGTGTACTCATAAAAAATCCTATTGCCATCTGCTAAGGATGATACGGTACTATAGCTTGTGTTCTTGTCAATGTCCGATATGAGGAGAAAAAGTACTGGAGCAAGCACAGTACCCTGGGGGACTGAGCTCTTCACGGATGATGGTCCGGATTTTATTTTGTTGACTATTAAACATTGGGATCTGTTAGTCAGGAAATTGTAGATCCATCTGCCAATTTTTCCGGTAATACCTTTTGAAGGCATTTTATGTGCAATAACGCCATGGTCACATTTGTCAAAGGCTTTTGCGAAACCTGTGTAAATTACAAGAGCGTTCTGCTTGTCTTCTATGGCATCTAGTGCCATGTCATAGTGGTCCAGCAACTGTGACAGGCAAGAGCGCCCTGTTCTGAAACCATGTTGTCCGGGGTTATGGAGATGCTGTGATTCCATGCATTTTGTGATCTTACTTCGTAGCACTCTCTCAAAGATTATGATGTGTGATGTTAGTTATCGGTCTGTAATTTTTTGCCTCTGCCTTATTTTCTCCTTTATGGAGCGGTGCTATCTCTGCTGTTTTTAGTATATCAGGGATAACGTCAGTACCTAGGCTTTGTCTCCAAAGAATATGAAGGGACTGCGATAGTTTTTTTTTTTACAGTTCTTGATGAATATAGTGTTCCAAGAATCATTGCCTGGTGCAGAGTGCATAGGCGTAGTACTTTCCAGCACTATCGCTTCTTCAAAATCCAGTCGGGATTTTTTTCTGCAGAAACCCACCTGTTCGGCAAGATCTCATGAAGGTAGGATCTTATCTCACGACGGTGGTGTGGGGGTGCCCCATCTTGCTGAAAATAAAACTCATCATCGTCATCAAAGACCTCTCTAATGCTTGGCATGACAGACTGTCGCAGCAACTAGTTCATGTACTTGGGCCCAGTCACAGAAGCGTAAAAAAAATGGTCCAATTAAATCTCTTCGCCATAACCAACAGCACACTAACTCCTGATAAATTAACACGATGTTCTACCCTAACGTGCGGATTCTCAAGTGCCCAGTAGATGCAATTTTGGCGGTTAATTGAACCATTTAATATAAATGTAGCTTCATCAG